AAAAAAATTAGACTTCTTAGGCAAGGCTGGCTTTTTTCTTGTTGTTTTACGTGCAAAGCAACATGTACATTGTTGGCACTGCATAAATCAATGATGATGAAGATGGTGGTTTTCAAAATTATCTGAAGATACTTTAGAAAATTGTATCTGTGTGGGTAGTGTATAACATTGTAAAATAAGTAAAATTTTGTTGTAAAATTTTGTAATTGATTGTAAAATTTACTTCCACTTAGCCCTCTGAAGGTGTATCACCAAGTTTTTGGGGGAAGTCTAGCTCACCAGACTTTGGGAATATGAGACAGTGGATATAAGTAGCAGAGTCTGGGAAGAAATTTCAGAGAACAAGGGTGAAAAATCCCTTTCAGCCTGTGGGCCAAATTTAGTTTCGAAAAAAAGGATGGTGACCCCCCCCATCCCAGTTATGGGCAAGACCAAAGGCTAAAAAGATGGCACTAAAAATACCAGCATGTTTTTGTTTCAAGTTCTTAAGTGCCAGTCCCTAAGCCCTAACAAAGGCATTTCAGCCTTTCACCATGGAAAACAAAACATGGAAAAGCTGGGAATAATAATAATAATACTGGTTGAGTCTCCATTATCCAGAATTCCAAAATATTCCAAAAATTCAAACTTCTTTCATGGGTGGCTGAGACAGTGATGATGTTGCTTTCTGATGTTTCATTGTGCACAGACTATGTTTCATGCACAAAATTATTTAAAATATTGTATAAAATTGCCTTCTGGCTATGTACATACGGTACATAATGAAACAGAAATGAATTTTGTGTTTAGACTTGGGTCCCATCTCCAAGATATCTCATCCTGTTCTTATATGCAAATACAGGTATTCCAAAATCTTTAAAAAACTCAACTCCAAAATACTTCTGGTCCCAAGCATTTTGGATAAGGGAGCCTCAACCTGTCATTTAAATATGATGATTATTATTTGAACTCCTCTATGTGTTTAATGGAGAGCTAGTGTGGTGTAGTTGTTTGAGGTATGAACCTGGAAACCAGGGTTTAATTCACTGCTCAGCTATGGAAACCCTTGGGCAAGTCACACACTCTCAGCCTTAGAAAACCCTGCGATCTTAGAATCACCATAAATCAGAAATGATTTGAAGGCACACAATAACAATAATGCGTTTAGTGACCAGAGTTTTCGTCTGTATCTATTTTAATTTAATTTAATTTGAAAAATATGCAACTGAGGAAGGAAGCTGAAGTCTATGAAAGCTCATGCGACCAACTTCTTTCTTTCAGTTAGTCTCAAAGGTGCTACAGGATCCCTTTGCATACTATTTGTAAGCTGTTGAGTCTCAGGGCTGGGGAACAAGGAGGATATGAAGAAATAAAATCCCCCAGCATGGACATCATGGCAGTTGTAGGTCAACTCAAGTCAAGATGATCATTGGTGAAAGGGAGAGAAATGTTTTGGGTTGCAAGAGATGTCAACTGATGGAAGAGACGGCATGCTTTCAGTGGGAATCTGCTTGGTCTGCATTTATTAGTACCTTCTGGTTGCTTCCAGCTGAAAGGTGTTTTATTCAGGCTTTCTGATACGAGGGCCTAGCCACCACTGAGAGCCCAAATCCCCCGCCTTTCAGTCGGCAACCTTCCCTTCTCCCGACACACACGTGGTCAGCAAGCTGATTTAATTCTCTGCAAAGACGCCAATTGAAACAACACATTTCCCAGTGAAATCTTGGCTCTGGTGCTGGATGGCTTGAGAAGCCAGTAGCATATTTTTTTTCACTCCCTCCTCATTCCTGTAAATGCAAAAACATCCCAGCAGATTTATTCTAAATTTGGTTGAAAAGCATGCTGACCTGAGCCCAGGGCTTGCGTGTCCAGTCAGTGCCTGGGCTGGAAGGGATTTGTAGCTGTTGCTCCAGACTTTCGTAAATATCCCCTCTCTCACATACAGATAGAGTTTGGACTGGCCTCAGAGAAGCTGTTTTTGGAAAAGCAAGTCTCGACACCAAGGAATGCAATGGATATAGCTGGACTAGGGATGAGATGTGGATCCTTTTGCAAGATTCAGGATTGGGGTGGGGAGATTTGGGTGGCTAGTCTGCCCATTTACCAAAAGGAAGGTGGGCATAAAATGGCAGAGCCCTGTGAATAGACTCTACCGCTTAAGGGGACAGATTGTCTTTCCGAATATTCCCTTCTGGTTTGTTCCTTTGGTGTTTTTTTTTTAAATCAATGCAAGTAGAAAACTAGATGTGCAAAGAGTGGCACTAACATTTTCCCTGAGGTGCTAGATTTTTTACTTGCAAGGAATGTGTGTACTGTACAGCATGAGGCTGCTTTTCAAAAGGCATGTCCCAATTGTAGACTAAAAATAGTCTTGTCATTCCCTTCTGATTGAAGGGCTGCACCCAAGGTGGGGAAAATAGTGTGGTTTTGTTTTGTTTTGTTTTGTTTTGTTATTACAATGCCCAGAATCTTTGTGCCAACACAGGCTGGGAGATTCTGGGAGTTGTAGGCCAACCCTCTGCCCAGAAAACCCCTAGTTTTCCCAAGCTCAGCATTGGCAGAGCATACGCTCTGCATTTTCTGGGTACAGCTGGAAATGAACCTGTGTGGACCCTTGGAAAGCCAGTCAGAATAGACAGTACTGAGTTAGGTGGACCAATGGTTTCACCAGGTTTTAGGCTGCCCTCCTGTATTTCCTTGGCCAACATGTTTGGTTTCCGAACTTCCATATCCCAAACTGCAAGCCATTGCTGAACAAGACTGTTTTGCCTCATTCATGCCCAAACTGTCACCTTTTCTGAGTAAGAAGCAACCCAAATACATATGCATCAGCCCAACAACTTGAGGCAATCATTGTCCTTTGACTTGTGCCTTTCAGGGCTCTTTGTGGTTGTGTGCCTTCAAGTAATTTCCAACTCATGATGACCCTAAGGCAAACCTATCACAGGCTTTTCTTGGAAAGATTTATTCAGAGGGGGTTGCCTTTGCCTTCCTCTGAAGCTGAGAGTATGTAACTTATCCAAGGTCACCCAATGGGTTTACGTGGCTGAACGTGGAATCGAACCCTGGCCTCCAAAGTCACAGTCCAACACTCAAACCACTATACCACATTGGTCCTCTCAATACCTTAGATACCTCTTTTCATGATCACCCAGAATTTTTCATAGCTTTTTTCCCCCCAATCTCTTTCACCTTCCAGGGCCGGTGCACTCGAGAAAACTGCAAATACCTTCATCCTCCGCCGCACTTAAAAACGCAACTCGAAATCAACGGACGCAACAACTTGATCCAGCAGAAGACAGCCGCAGCCATGTTTGCACAACAAATGCAGTTCATGCTACCAGGAGCGCAATTGCAGCCAATTGTAAGTCCCCAAAACAACTGGATATTTAGTTCTCCTTCACACTACAAAGTTGCAGCGGTGTCACTAGATTTGGCCTCACCGGGTGCGGTAACTCTTAGTGGCACCCACCCCCAATTGACCTCTTCTCATATACCACACCATACAGAATCTGTAGTATCCCTTTTTGTACTAACATTGCTCATAAATTGCAATTTCCATATCTCACCGAATGTAGTGGCAATAGCTGTGATATGAACAACTTACAAAATTAAAATTATACCTTTAAATCACAATATCGTATGCACAACCGAAACGTATTTACATGTGCATAGATAGTTTCATGTAGTTAAAGTGAAAATTTGGTAAGATGTGATATTCATAAAGAACATTTTAAATGAATAATTAAATGAATAACCTCAGGTGTTGGAAATGGTTTCATACTCATAAAAAGTACTTAAGGAAAGAAGGCTTCAACTATCATTGTAAAAATTCAAGGGTAGCTATTTTGGCTGTGAAATGCAGTCCAAAGGGGCAGTACCTTTATTAGGTCAGCCAAAAAGGCTAATGCAGTGTATGTTGCACCTTTGGTTTGGCTAATAAACAACAAGTATTTTCTGTTTTATAAAAATGCTTCCGGGTCTCTTTTTGTTTCATAAGGACTCTATTTGATGCCAGAGGTGGGAAGGGTTTAGGATATAATTTTCTTCTCAAAGGAAGCAGAGAGTAATTTTAGCAGTTTTGTCCTTGTTGCGAGAAAGTCTTTGAAAGCTGCAGTTTGCAATTCAGGATTTATTCTGTGCAAAATTTGCATGTGGTGGCTTTGCTCAGAAAATAACATTTTTGTGCAGGAAACAGCCTTTTCTGTGCAGAAAAAAAATCTGCATAGAAAAAATGTGTTTTCTGCACAGAAAGAAAGCTGTTCTCCATGCAAAACAACCCCATGTGAATTTTGTACAGAATAAGTTTTGAACTGTGAAAATTCTCAACAGTCCAGGATTCTTCTCACCAGGATTTTTCAACACTCAAGAATTTTTAACAAATATTATTGAATATTCCATCATGGGGTGGAGTAGTCAGAATGAAGGCATTGCCCCCTCCAAAATTAGATTTCTGCCTCCTACATAAAATTAGTCCTCAGTTTTCTAGCATTGCACTAACTTAAACCTTCAGTTGAACTTCTAGTATATTTAGAAATATATCCAAAGAAAATTTACCAAGGCACAGCAGATATAAAGAGCCCTAGATGTGAATGTTTTGCAGTCAGTTAATTCAGCTGGAGTAAAAGAGAGGAGGGATTTTTGCCCTTCCCAGTTGTCTCAAGCAAAAGCAAACTGCTGCAGCCTCTCCTGGCTCGTCTGTTATTACTCCATCTTGACCATACTCTGATGTTGCTTGGCCATATGTGTCTCTGTTTTTATCTGTGAAATGTTGGAGGGTATGCCCCTGATTTAGAAAAAAGAGTTAAAACCAAAGCTTTACTTGCAACCACTTTGTTATCATTGTTGTTGATATTGTTGTTGTTGTTGTTGTTGTTGTGTGCCTTCAATTCATTTCTGACTTATGGCAACCCTAAGGCCATAAGTTGTCTTGGCAAGATTTGTTCAGAGGAGCTTTGCCGTTCCTTTGCCCTGAGGCTGAGAGAGTGTGACTTGACCCTAAGGTCACCCAGTGGGTTTCATGACCGAGCTGGGCATCGAACCCTGGTCTCCAGAGTCGAAGTCCAACATTCAAACCACTACGCCACGTTGGCTCTCTCTTATCTCTACTTGGAGGCAACCCACACTTTGCAACCCCCCTAAAGCCCTTGGAAGGATTCAGGGATCCAAGTTCTGGGATTCCCAATGAATCCAAGGGAAAGGGAATGGGATTTGATGGGAATGAGAAAGCCAGGGCTATTTCTCCTTTGAAGCGCTTCCTGAACTGGTGCAAAAGCTCTCTGGGAGCAGGACCTGCCTTGGCTCCAGCTCTTGCTTTCCTTTCAGCCCTTGGAAGCGCTGCAGCTGCGTCACCCGGGCCCTGTGCCAAAAAGGGGGACGGTTTTGGAAGCCCCGTGTGTTTTTAATAGCTCTCGCAAGCATGCCTGGGCATTTGTGTAGCCGAGTGCAAAAACGGCAGCTTTTCGGAACCCGATTTCGCCACAGTGGAGGAATTTTCGTCCTTTTGTCCTCCTTTACAAGATCTTGGCTCGTGTCTCTTTTGTTTTCAAAATGTCCCCCAGCAAGAGCAACAGAGAGCCTTCTGACGCTTGAAAGGTTAGGTTCTCTTTCACTCCGCACACAATTATAGCTCTCTGATGCCACTTTAACCGGCACGGCTCCATTCCTGTGGAAGCTTGGGATTTGCAGTTGAGTGAGGCATTTGAAATTCTCCGCCAGGGAGCTTTTGAGCCTCTCCAAACTACAAATCCCAGGATTCTGAAAGATGCAGCTATGGCAGTTAGTGGAATCCTGCTGCTATAATTGTGTCGTCACAAAGAGACCTAAAACCCATTTATAAGACCATAAATCAGCTTACAGATGCCAGAATGTGGATGCTAAACTAGCCTTTTGAAGGTTTTTGACTAGTATAATAAGAACTTCTTTCTGTATCCTAAATCAATCTGAACCCTTTCCCACAACAGATAAGCCTCTGGCTTGAATATATACTCTACTTCATCTGTGTCTGTCGGAGACCGTAGTCTGCAAAAGCTCATGCAAAAATCAATCTGTAAATCTCAGAAATGCTGTAAAACCTCTTTTCTTTCCTTCCCTTCCCTGCTTTTTATACCGAGGTTTCTGCCACATTGCAGAAATGAGGCAGTTTGATACCACTTTAATTGTTATAGCACCACACTATGGAATTCTAGGAATTGTAATTTTTTTTTGGGGGGGGGTCACCAGAGCTCTCTGAGAGAGAAGTCTAAATATCACACAAGACTTACAAATCCCAGAATCCCATAGCATGGAGTCAAAGCAGTATCAAACTGCATTGATTCTGCAGTGTGGCAGCAATGTAAGGGCACAAATTTTTCGTCCAAAGAGTGCCCCAGAATGGGACTGCGAGTCTTATTGCTGGTGTCTTCTATTACTTGGGAAATAGAAATTGCAGATATCAGCCCTGGCAGGAATGCAGAGTCAAGTCTGTACTTCATATTAATTCATGGTAACCTTATCCTGAGAACCAGTGTGGTGTAGTGGTTTGAGTGTTGGATTAAGACTCTGGAGACCAGGGTTCGATTCCCTATTCACCCTTGAAACCCACTGGATGACCTTGGGCAAGTCACATGCTCTCAGCCTCAGGGGAAGACAATGGCAGACCGCCTCTGAACAAATCTTGCCAAGAAATCTCCGTGATATGTTCGCCTTAGGGTCACTATAAGTCGGAAGCGAGTGGAAGGTACACAACAACAAACAACAATCCTATCCTAGGGTTTTCCTGGCCAGATTTCTTCAGATGAGGTTTGCCCCCACCTTCCCCTGAGGCTGAGAGAGTATGGCTTACCCAAGATCATCCAGTGAGTTTCTGTCACTGAGCAGGAATTTGAACCCTGGTTTCCAAAGTCCTAGTTCAATGGTTCCCAAAGTTTGGTCTTCCAGATGTTTTGAACTTCAACTCCCATCAGCCCCAGCCAGCTTGGCCAACATTTTTGGGACTGAAGTCCAAAATATCTGGAGGACCAAAGGTTGGGATCCACCATCGTAGTTAAACACTCAAACCACTATGCCAGGCTGCTCTTCCAACATGTCCCAGGGTTGGGGCTGAATCTGGGATTGTGAACCCTAGCCTTCGAAATCTCTGAGCCAATTAAACCCAGTTGAGCTGTGCAGCCTCGTCTTGGTTTTGAAAGGAGAACAACATAGTGGAGTTTGGTGCCAAAGCAACTCAGAATCTCTCTCTGTGCCAAGAAAAGCTGAATTCCTGACTTGGATGCAGTTTGCAAATGTGTGCGCCTCTGCGCGTTTTGCCGTTTTCTCTAGGTAGGCGTAGCAAACTCCACAAGGCATGGTGGGTGGCAGTGCGTTGGAAGAGCTCAGGGCAAACCGAGAACAGTTAAACCACATGTTTTGTTTTCCTGAATAAATCATCCTTATCAAGCCTGTTTGATATTCCCCATGTCCTCACACACAGGTCCCTAATTTTTCCATTTGTACTTTTCCACAGTCTCAACATGGATCAATCTCAAGTAACTTCCAGTCTAGGCTAGTGAGGTGAATAAAGGGGCAACTACGGGTGCATCTACACTGTAGAAATAGTGCAGTCTGACACCACTTTAACTACCCTACATTTCTCCATATTTCTATGGTGTAGATGCACCCTACCTCTCAGCGCTGAGATAGTTTCTTTAATTTTTTAACATGTTTCCTATAATGATTGGCTCATCTCTTGGCCGTATTTCGTTCTAAGCATTATTATGAGCTGCTTTGTGCCCCGTATTGGGGGGAAAGCAAGATATAAATGAAATATATGAATGAATTTGGGAGGAACCATAGTTTAACACAGCAAATATCCGTCCGTTTCATCTCAGAAGCGTCTGAGACCTCCGTTGGAGCGTATCAAGGGCTTTGCCCAGCACATTCCCCGTGACCGGGTTACCAAGGCCTTAAAATAGACCCAACAATTGAAACGCTGGCAGAAGTAGGACAGGAGGCTTGTTCACCGCTAGCGTCTTCTACAAAAGGAGCTCTGAGTCATGGCTGTACTTATGCACTTACGGGAGCCACTGCTGCCTGATTTCACTCTCTCTTACATTTGGGTCTAGGAGGAAATGAGGAGAAACCTATTCATGGCATAGGAGTACAGTTGTCCCTATGTATCCACGGATTTTTTTAATCCACGGATTCAACCATCCATGGCTTGCAAATATTCAAGAATAATATAAATTCCAAAAGCAAACCTTGCTTTTGCCATTTTATACATGGGACACCATTTTACGATGCCATTGTACTTAATGGAACTTGCGCATCCATGGATTTTGGTATCTACGGGGAGTCTTGGAACCAAACCCCAGAAGATGTCAAGGGCCCACTGTACATGACTTGAGGTTTTGTGTGTGCAGGTTTTGTAATGGATATAGTGCAAGAGTTTATTCGCTAATCCCTGGTGCATGATCCAAAATCCCCCCCCTAAAAAGCATGATCCAAAATCCAAAATTCCAAAGCAGCTGCCATGTCCTGTAACCACTCTTCCCTTTCACCAAGGGATGATACCTTTTTTTAATAAGAGTTAAAGAGCAGTATGTACTCTGACCTGTAGATAAGTTGAGTCAGGTTCTTTTGCCTAACATTTCTAGACGTATACATGAATATATACAGTATACGGTTTAATGGTTTTATATGCTCTTTTAATGCTCTGATATGCTCTTTTATCTGTATTATATATTTTATTTGTTATTTTTCCTTCCTTGATCCATATGGAAAGGTGGATGGGAAATAAATATTTGCCAGAATCCTGTACAACCATTGTGTACTATGTAGCACTATAGCAACATTGCTATGAACAGCCAGATCCTTCCATGGTTAATTGGTAGGGATGGAATGGTGGTTGGGGTGGACTATGTTAATTGCCGGAGGTGCCTCCTTAATTGTGTCATTAAGGCTGTTAACGATTTGAGCTGTTCTTTGGCCGTGCCAATGAGGGCACACTGCATGCTTGCAATGCACCTGGCGAGCCCGAATCAATACAGAGGGGAGGAGAGGACTGCAAGAAAACAGCAGAAAATTAATAGACTTAGGAGTGGGGGTTCACCTCCTGGCTGGAGGGATTGAACTTATAGTTCCCAAGGTTCAAGAGTGGGCTCTTGTACAAGAGTGGACCCTTAAGCTGAGCTCCATGCAAATTGTTTTCTGCTTTGCTTTCCCCAACAGACGACGTTTCCTGTGACTCCTTCGCTTGCAACCAGCCCCACCATGGCGTTCAGTCCCTATCTGAGCCACGTCTCCCATGGAATGGGCTTGGTTCCCGCAGAGCTGTTACCAAATACGCCTGTCCTGGTGCCCGGAAACCCAACGGTTTCAGTACCGGGAGGCTCTACTGGACAGAAACTGATGAGGACAGATAAACTGGAGGTATTTGCCTGGTCTTGAGTCTCATTCATCTCTTCCTTTATTCCATGGAGGAAATATAAGGGGGAGAGTTTGCCTGCAATTCTGTGGAGGCTGATGGCTTCCATGTCTTTGGGGCCATGAATCTGCTGCAGGTGCTGTTGTTGTTGCTGCTGTTGTTGTTGTCATCCTGCCTTTCTCCTGATATAGGGACTCGAGGTGGCTAGCAATAAATTTAAAGCCATAAATCAAAATTGTCTTGGAGGCACACAACAACAACAACAATAACAAGTTATAAACAATAAAAAGCATTAAAATGTACTTGATGGGAGACCACCAATGAATACCAGGTACTTTTGGGCTCTATTTCAGAGGAAGGATCTGGCAAAACCATCTCTTGTATTTCTTTGCCTGTGAAATTGATGGAGTCACCATAAGTCAACAGGCAATGTGAAGGCATATATGCACACACATTCTTACATAAGGCCTAAATACCCTAAAGACACCAAATCCCATCTGTTTTTTGAAGTTATGCAAGGCCAGCCCTGGTTAGGACTTGGATGGGAGACTGCCAAAAAATAGCAGGTGCTACAGGCTCTATTTCAGAAGAAGGGACTGGCAAAACTATCTCTCCTAAGAAAACCCTATGAAATTTATGGGGCTGCCAAAAGTCAAAAGATGACTTGAAGACACACACACACACACACCAGTAGTGTTCACCCCAAGAAGA